CGATTTGGATGTCAATCAAACCATCTTGTAGCCAATAATCTCAGGTTTCAGGCGATGTGTCGGACTTCAAGGTTCCTCCCACTGTTCGAGTCTCATTTGAATGCGTAACGGGGAATTTACACAGTAGGCGTAAACAGCGCGTACGCGCTCTCTGCGCGTAAATTTTTTTTGGAGTATCTACACTGACCGTGCGCGCAGGTCCGCGTCTTCTGATGCTCTCCCTGTGTAGTCTATGGAGCAGTGTAGAGGACAGTACAGAGGACTGATGTAGAGCAACATAAATCACATGCATGTGTTTGTCCTCATGGTCTCTGTGCTGGTTTGGCCAGATGCCAGACTTTATGAAAGAAAAAAAACGATGTCCAGAATCACTGTAAACCCTGCTGCTCCTCCTGCTGATGTTTAGACACAAGTCCTGTGTGTGTGCAGATGTGATCTAAAGCCAAGGACCGCTAGAAAAATCATGTTTTACATGAGATTTCAATGGGAGACGCGTGGCTGCGCGCACAAAATTAGAAATCCATCCTAAATTAGGCCTGGACTCCACCGGGCGCGTCTCCGTTCACTCGCGTTGGCTGCTGTCCGTCAGACGTCCTTAAAACGGACTACTGGTCAAACCGGCTGCAGCAGCAGCTCTGGCTGTCCGCTTATCAGCCTGCTTTGTTTTTGTAGGAGACACGTTTGGGCATTGTGTGAATGAATGAATATTTGGCTGATGGAGAAGTGTGTGTGCGTGTGTGTGTGCGCGCGCGTGCCCGCAGCGTTTATTATGATCCAGCCTCTTCGTTTGTTTTCTATACTTATTTAGCGCGTCATAAACTTTTATCGGACCCAACTCCCCTCTCCGCGACTTTAGGCAACAGGCAGCCGCTATAGTTTTAAATAGAAGACGCCGTGTGTGATTTGTATGAGCTGTGGCTGTGATCTATGCAAAGCACGGCATATTGAAGCATTGAGGACGTTGCGATGGATGAGGCAAAACTTACTGAAAGCAATTGAAAAAAGGGGAGAGAGAAAGGAGAAAAGAACTCCAGTGTTGTTGTGAGATCTGTGTGTGTGTGTGTGTGTGTGTGTGTGTGTGTGTGTGTGTGTGGCGGTGAGGAGAGAGCGCCTCGGAGGTAGAGGGGACAGAGCGAGAGAAAAAAGAGCGAGGTGTATGTAAAGATTAGCGTATTAACATTACGCGAAAAATAAATGGTAGATTTACGATCAGGAAACAATTGTTTAAAGTAATACATGAAGAAAATTACACACGTTTGTTAATAATCATTGTCATTAACAAATACTTATAACCAAGGGCTACAGCATATATCAATACATGTTTAATAATGTGGTAAATATATTATTCCATTGTATTTTCAATGGAAAACGGACCCGACACGCGTCGACGGACGGAACAAATAGGATTGTTTCTTTTTCGTCCGTCCGCGTCCGTTGCACCCTCCGTTAACGGAATACGTCCGACGTGCATCAGACGGACGCATGCGGAGGCAGTGGAGCCACTTCCATTCACTCTCATGGAGATAACGGAGATGAAACGGACATGTTTGGACGGATCCGTCGTCCGTTTTACGCGCCCGGTGGAGTCAGGGCCTCAGAGCGCAGCTTCGCCTCATACGTCCGTCATACTCGCGTATAACGCTAGAAGTGTAAATATCATCATAGGTTAACATGGAAAAAAGTTACGCGCGTCTGCTGCGCGTATAACGCGTACGTGCTGTAACGCGTGATGTGTAAATTAGCAGTAAGAGAGGAAGACAGAGCATTTTCACGGAGAACACGCGCTATATCTATATAAATAATAGCTTTTCTGCAAACATTTCAATATCTGGAAAAAAAGGCTATTTATAGCAAGAGTAATATCCAAAAAATGATATAATTTGATCTTTGGTGTAAAAACATTGATAATGTGCATGTAAAACACTTTGGCACAATTGGCACAAAAATGGACCACTTGTGCCGAATGTGCCCATTAGTCACAAAAAAGCCCCCAGCATCAAAATGGTTTCACCTAAAGGTCTAAAATTTCATACAGTTGTTGCCAACACCACAAACATCTGCTTAGGTGAGTTTGAACAACATACCATAAAGTATTTTTTCAGGAGATAATTTTGAAATTGCCTTTTTTTTTTTGAGACAAAAAAACTAACTTTGACTCATGTTTGAGAAGCTGTAGTGCAGACTGGGTCCTTCCTAACAAACTGTAACATACATTTCCAGAAACTAGAAGGTGTTACCTTTCAAATGAGGCCTCATAACACAAAATCAGACACAAGATGTCCACACAATAAGCATTTCCATTTGAGTATCATAATTCAAGAAGGAGCAAGCGAAATTAGGTGATCCTTAAAGGGTTAACAGCCCCGCATCCCAGGGTAAGCGTCACACCTTAATCTGTCCCCCAGGTACCAAGCATGTCAAACATGGGTCCTCCTAACATGCATATGTAACAATAGTAATGTACCTCTAAGTGTTCAACATTATATTACTTTTTTTGGGGGCCAGCACGGTGGCTGAGTGGATAGCACTCTCGCTTCTCAGCAAGACAAAACAGGGCCTTTCTGAGTGGAGTTGCTCTCCCCATGTCTGGGGGTTTCCTCCGGGTACTCCGGTTTTCCCTACCACTATAAACATGTGCAATAGTTCAGGGTGAATGAGTGTGTGTTTGTGGGTGCGAATGTATTAACATGTACTGTCCCAACCAAAAAATAAACAATATAGAATATTTTTTTGCGTCATCAGATTTTGAATTTGAAATAAGCTTGAATTCACTTACAAATGTTAATGTGATAACAATTTTAAAATGACATTCGCTATTAAAATGTCCTCCTAATGGGTGATGATCAGGACACTTTAGCATTCTACAACATGTATGGACATTTTCTTCTGTGTGTGCTTTATATTCTTCATGTGTTTTAACTGTTGATTCTCTGACCTGTGTTGGTGATTTCAATGGTTTTGTTAAGTCTCTGAGATGACTTCTGTTGTGACCTAGGGCTATACAAGAATACATTGTATTGTATTGTATTGTAAATATCTTGTTTATTTTCAAGCCTCAAATACAAAACACTGATATTTTATGAAAAAAGACAGATTTGTTCTATCAATTTGAAATTTTAATGGGCCTCATTATCAATTTCATGTTTTTTTTCAAGATAAAACAAATTCAATGCATATATTTTCAAGAGCTTAAGTCAAACAGTCTAAATTTGCATGATACATGTGTTCTGACGAGTTGTGTGCTCTGTCACATGCACAAACGAACTGTTTTCTCTTCACTGAAGTTGGACACTCTCGCTGCTGTCTGTCCGTTACTATGGATACAGTAGTTTAACGTTTTGTCTGTTAAAAGCCCTTTTCGGACGGGATTAGTTTTACATGGAGACCTCTGGTAATTTGTGATAATCATGGGGGACGTCTGAGATCTAGTCCCATGCGAATGCGCCATGTCTGTAATTTGTAAAGTAAAAATTCCGCCACAAATGACCTCCTGTTTTTGTCGTGACAAAACGATTGGCTCTATAGACCTGGTCTTCTCACTACGCTTCTCTTAAGGGGCGTTCACACCGGACTTAACTTCGGCGTCAAATGTGTCAGGTTTGCATTGAAAGTGAATGGTGAAGCGCGTCAGGTGAAGCCGAGAGCCCCGGCGTCACTTGACGCGCGTCAAAAGCTTCAAGAGTCGCGCGTACTACGCGCTCACTCGAAGCTTTTGACGCGCGAAACGCTCGCGTATCACAACAATCCCTTTGACGCCAAAGTTGAGCAAAGCTGAGCTTTTGAAGCTTTGACGCGGGCTTCAACCAATCAGGAGACGAGGAGCAGCAGCAGCAGAGGGTCTGTCTCTGTCATGGAGAGAAGTCATGTATCTGCTGCTGCTGTTTTATTGTCATTATTGTTATTAGTAATATTATTTGTATGAGTAGTAACATTCTGAGAAACAAAATCATTGTACACATGCTGTGTAGTAAACCTAGTTTATTTAGAATAAGAACAGGCTGACGATGAGTCTGGCTCAGAGCAAGGCAGCTCCGGGCGGGTGAGAGCCGGGGAGAGGCAGGGAGAGGCGAGCGAGAGCCGGGGAGAGGCAGGGAGAGGCGAGAGCGAGGCGGGGAGAGGCGAGCTCCGGGGTTTGAGAACTCAAACCGGGCGAGTGACATGCGGAAGTACCGCTGAAAGCGAGCAGTGTTGGGCACGTTACTTTGAAAAAGTAATTAGTTATAGTTACTAGTTACTTCTCCCAAAAAGTAACTGAGTTACTAACGGAGTTACTCCACTATAAAAGTAACTAGTTACCAGTAAAAGTAACTATTGCGTTACTTTTTCGTTTTGTTCTGGAACATAATGTGCACCCGACGTGCGCATTTTTACCTTTAACAGTGCCAATATTTCCATCTAGAAAAGGCTGTTTTGCTGCTGAAGTCCTGTTCACTCTTCATCTCTGTCTGTGCTGTAAAGCCCGCCACTGTGAATGTGGAAACACCGGTGACGAGCGGTGAGGCTGGTGAAGCACTGACTTCAGTCCAATCAGATGAACATATACATCATATAAATCAAGTGGACAATTTGTTTGGCTACAGCAAAATATGTTTTATGCCCGCATTGTTTGTTCATACAAAACGCAAAACTATGAGTTATGGGTCTTACCTTATAGCTATACCTTATAAATGACCTGCACAGTCCACTTCGGTTCAGACCAGTTCCTTGTTTAAATCCAGTTAATGGTTTGAGCGTAGATATGTAATCCTCCATTTGGAAATGAGTCCAATGAGTTTTAAAAAGTAAAACAAAACGCGTGTGTCCTCCGTAAACTCCTGTTTTGCTGCAGCCGGCTGCATCCAATTTCTAAAATCAACCGTCTTACACTTCACCTCTCTTTCTTATCATTCCTATAGTAATTGAAAAATTACCCTATGTGCATTTTAGATTATGTAAAAATGTGTTATATGTATGTTAGCCAAACCTGTTGCTGTCCTGTTGCAGCCGACTTCTGCGCTCACATGCGCTACTCTGTGGCTGACCTCACGGTGATACAAGCCGTGGTTGAGCGCGATTAAGACCCATATTTGTTTCAAAAACACAATTTATGAGCCATCCTCTCAACTGTAGACATGTAGATTGTAAAGGAAATATGATTTACATCAGCCAATAATTGCTGAGAGGTTTTCTCATCCTCCCTTCTCTCATGACAACACGTTCATTGTGCGTCTTGAGTAACGCGCAGTAACGGGATGTCGGAAATGATAACGGCGTTATAGTTACTGTCAAAGTAATTAGTTAGATTACTCGTTACTGAAAAAAGTAACGGCGTTAGTAACGCCGTTACTAGTAACGCCGTTATTCCCATCACTGAAAGCGAAACTCCTCCGTACGCAGCTCCTGGAGTAAATGACAGAACTCTGCAAACACTGCAGCCTCTCAAGTCTGTGGTGAACCCAGAACATGTTTTGTTGAAGCCCTACAACAACGTTATTTTGCTTTATATAACAAATAAAGGCTCGCTGCTCATTGAAAAATCCACCGCTGTCCTGACTACAGACAACAGAGAAGCTCCTCCCACCGGCGTCAGGCGCGTCACTCGCGTCAAAAGCTTCAAGCACCAAAATGACAAAACTATCCCGGCGTCAGTTGAAGCGCGTCAAAAGCTTTTTGAAGCTTTTGGTCTGAACGCGCCATTAGCCTCTGTACCGACGCCACGGCATCGCTGGGAAGGCAGAAGTCACCCGAGGGAACAGCATGCAAAAACAGTGACTGCAATCAAAATGCAGAGACCAAAAAGGTGTTGCTGCTCTTTTCAAAGTTCTATACGAGGTAAAGGCTTCATTATGTAGCACTAGAATGTACAGTGCTCACTGCATTACAGTGTTGGACCATCGTCATGACAACATAAACAACTTAGTAATACTATATCAACAACTTCAAATTAACAGTATCTTTTTTATTTAATATTAAGAAAATGATCAATTGGAATAACGAAATAGTCCTTGTTAAGTCTGGACTTGTTTCCATCAAATTATTATTTAACCACTATAGAAATAAAATATATTTAATTTTAAACACTTGGTGGTTCTGTAAAACATTTGTTAAGCAATGCATTTTTATACATCTGCTTTAGTATTTTTTTCATGTGAGTTATTTATAAGTTAGCTCTTGGGCAAAATAAATGTTTTTGTTAAATTTGTAAAAACTTGTATTTCTTGTTCAGCACTTTAAATCTCAGTTAGATTTCTAAGTTTGAATTACCGTTAAGTTTATTTACATAAAAAGCCAATATTACTGTATCGATATCATTCAAAATCTACTGTATCGAATTGTATCGTTTAAAATATTAAGATAGTTTTTTATCAATCGTTTGCTCTCATATCGAAACGGATCGTATCGTTCTAAAAACGTATCGTTACACCTAGGGCTGAAACAACTAATCGATTAATCGACAACTAATCGATTATTGAAATAGTCGACCACTATTTTAGTAATCGATTAATCGTTTTCTGGTTCACACGGACTCAAACAGAGCAAAAATGACATGAAAATGTAGTATTTTTGATTAAAAGCGACTTTGTTTTTATAATTTCATGAATATCTGTCTGTCTCATCCAATCAGAGCAGAATTAGCACAAAGAGCCTGTTACAAACATTTACTTTAAGTTTACGCCATCAATACGTCCTCGAGTGTTGCCACTTTAGCTTTTTGTGATGAATTTTTTTTTTTTCTACACAATTCACAGCCAAGCGATTACACCCCTAGATAACACTAATCCCGTGTGAATCTGCATGTCAGTGATTGTGATCGCTATCGGCGCTTTCTCTTTACTTTCTGCGTTGTTTTCGTCAATGAGCAGGAGTCGCGTATTGCGGCTGTGTACACAGCTGCGGAGTCGCGTATTGCGGCTGTGTACACAGCTGCGGAGTCGCGTATTGCGGCTGTGTACACAGCTGCGGAGTCGCGTATCGCGGCTGTGTACACAGCTGCGGAGTCGCGTATCGCGGCTGTGTACACAGCTGCGGAGTCGCGTATCGCGGCTGTGTACACAGCTGCGGAGTCGCGTATCGCGGCTGTGTACACAGCTGCGGAGTCGCGTATCGCGGCTGTGTACACAGCTGCGGAGTCGCGTATCGCGGCTGTGTACACAGCTGCGGAGTCGCGTATCGCGGCTGCTGCTGTCTCTGAGGTCTATGGAGAAGTGTAGAGGACAGTGTAATGTGTTCAATGACACATAATGATCAGACTGATGGGTTGCGTTTGTACGTTTACTCTGCACTCTGTCCGAATACAGCACAGACGTGTTGCTGCAGCCGTTACTATTTGTCGGCTCGCGCGTATGCTAGCGGAATATTTGGGGGGTTCACGGGTAGGCCTGTCGCGATAGTCAATAAATCAATTAATTGCACGATAAATAAAATTTGCTCAATAACTTTTCTGGCCGCGATAAATCCCATTTGCATGCTTGTTTGTTTCCCCCGTCTCTCTCAAGACGCAAAGTGGTCACGGGAACAGTAGCGGTCTAGCAAGCAGACGGAAATTACTCAAAAATACAAAATACAGCCAAAACAGGACCTAAACCAGGACTTAACCAGGATTGACAATGGGGGACACAGTAGTTGTGAACATATGCCGGCAGCTGAGTTCTCATTCAGGCTTGATTAGTGACTATACTAGCGCAGCTAGCGTTAGCGTGTTCGCCGATGCAGAAGTACCGTACCATACCAATAAAATAAACTTATGGCGCACCTCCGTGAACACATACTGCTGTTATATAAAGTCTCTAGAAGGTCTCTGAACACAGAGATGCTGCAGACTTGCATTCTTGGAGTAGAACTTTACACAAAAAACCCGCTAGCTTAGCTGTTAGCATCAAAGCCCGCCCCGCTACTTCCGGTGGGCGCTACCGCAGCAGGACTTCTGTACGCCCCATTGGTAAACCCACATGTCAGTCACTTGTCATTCGCCTGGTGTGTGGGGAGGTGGGACTACTCCTGAGAGATCCTGTCTTAAGCCACACAAAGTCAACATGTTGGTATTTCTTTCTCGTAATCTGCCATAAAGTCTGAGAAATTATTGACATTTGAGGCATCTGTTTCATATTTTCTTTACAAAGGTCCTGGCAGTTTTATTCCTGGTCATTTTTTGTTAAGAGACTGAGTATTTTATTTATTGTTTTTGGTTGTTTGTTAATTTATTGTGTTCTAGCGTTAAATATTCGTTAAAAATAAAAGTTTATTTCTCTTTGAAAAGGTGTACCTGCATTATCATTGTAATCGATGCAAATGATCTCAGAACGACAATATAATCGCTTATCGCAATAATGTCTGAGACAATTAATCGTCCAGCAAAATTTGTTATCGTGACAGGCCTATTCACGGGTAGTCCGTACAAAATGTTTTGTTTAAACGTTACAGAAAGTACAGGCCAGAGAACTGTAGAGTCGTAAAAACCATATTTATGTGTTTGGCCTCATGGTCTCTGGCTTCTGTGGTCAGACGCCAGTCTTTAAAGGTCCTATATCAGGCTTTTCTTCATGTTTCACAGTCAATCCTATACACATATGTGATAATAATGTGTGTGATACACCACACAACACACAAAACTTGTGAGATTAGAGCCATCTCTTGTATAGAGGTGACGTCACCACAACTCAAACGAGCTGATCCAGAGAAGAGTCTGCTCCTCTGTCCGTGAGCCCGCCTCCCCCCGCCCGCACGCTGACGTAGCATCACGCTCTGAAGTGTCGCAGATGAACCAGTATTATAATAGATCCATGAGATGAACAGATGAAAAAAGTCGAGCCACTTTCTTCCTCTTCGGGCCAAATAGTGCGTCACATATTTACACCCATAACACACTTCATTCAAGTTGACTTGACACTTTTAGTTGCTGACAAAATCAGATAAACAGCAGCTCTATGTAGTGTCTGCGGGACCAAGCCACAGACGCTAGACTCGGGAGCCGGACTCCGGAGCTAGCTGCGTGCTCTGATTCGCTGTTTTATCTGTCAACCACCTCCCGCCGGCTTTTAATATTTTTATTATTTAGGGTAATGCGCGTCATCAGAGTGGTTTTTGTCACTGAAGTGGACCCGAGCGTTTCACAGCCTCCCGAGGGTGAAGGAGACAGACTGCTCTCTTACTAAAGATTGACAGAATCAATGAAATAAATGACTCTGGGCATGTGTATGAAGGCCAAATATCACTGTAATCATGTTTTAAGCAGAGAAAAGTCAAAAACCGTGATATGGGCCCTTTAAGAACTGCGTGAAGTGGAGAGAGCTTCGCACGTGCAGCCGTTATGTGAGCTGTCAGTGAAAATTACAGACATTGCTTATCCTGTGTGAATGCACTGTCAGATCTCAGACGTCCTCCGTGATTATCAAATTACCGGGGGTCCCCATGTAAAACTAATCCCGTCCGAATAGGGCTAAAGTTTTACTTTGTGCAATTTCAAGGTGAACATCTCTCACAGCTAGACATGTGAAGATGACTCCATACCTCTTCACTTGGGCTCTCCCTCTGCGCACCAGGAAGCGACCAAAGTAATCCATTCCAACTCTGGTAAAGGGCGGGTGGTCAGGAAGCAGCCGACACTCAGGTAAGTTAGCCATTAACTGCACCGTGAAATCTTCTGCAGGTTGTGCACTTTAACAGCAGCGTCCGGATAGCTCCATTAGCTCCAGGGATCCAAAACTTCTCTTCTCCCAACATGTGGTTTCTGCCAGAATGAGCCATAAATTCATGCATGTCTCTTCACAATAAAATGGCAACATGAGACTGCTTTGGCAAAATAACCGGCTGCTTACTTTCAGCAGGCATGGCCGAACGACTCAATCTTCCGCCCACTGGCATCACCTCATGCCGAAACACTGGATTAAAGTAGTACTAGAATTTTATTTTATTTATTTTTGAGGGCGACAGTAGCTCAGTTGGTAGAGCATTGGCCTTTGGGCCTGAAGGTCGTGGGTTCGAGCCCACCGTAAGACCTACTTCACGACTCCCACTGATGACTGCTGTCGTTGTGTCCTTGGGCAAGACACTTAACCCCACTTTGCCCAAAGCCCCAACTGAAAGATCTCAGCTCCTGTGGACTCACCACCTGCAGGAGGATCAGTGAGGGGCTGGTGCTCTGTAGACTGGGTGCAGCTCTGACTGCCACCCCCCAGACCCAGAAATGGATTAAGGGGAAGAAAATGGATGGATGGATGGAATTTTATTTTACCAATTGCAGTTTTTGTTAGGTTAGAGCCATATAAACATTTTGGGGAAAAAAGAAAACGGGGAAAAAAAACATGTAAATTATAAATTTTTTTAGAAATCACCTTTTAAAAACATGCCACCTGATGTGCGACGTAGGTGAATGATAATCTGGTTTCAAACACGTGCCTACTCTGTACTATACTGTACACTTAAAACTTTTCTTCGCCTTTTTGCCAATAACGATGGGGAAAAAGTGCGTCGCTTACGGCTGTACTAATGTAAATAAAGATGGCGTGTCTTTACACAACTTCCCAAACCCTACAACGGAGAAGGAGTGATTTGACGGAAGAGACAAGTCAAACAAACTTGATTGGACCTGCCCTCTGCTTCCCGATCCGTCTGCTGCGTGTCTGTTCTGAGCACTTCACCCATCATCATTCTAATAAAATAGCATTAAATCGTCAATGCACAAACGTCCACAAACATTATATACTGTAAAGATAAGAACCAGCATCCATCCATCCATCCATCCATCCATTTTCTTCCGCTTCATCCGTTGCCGGGTCGCGGGGGCAGCAGTCTAAGCAGAGACGCCCAGACTTCCCTATCCACACACACCTCCTCCAGCTCGTCCGGGGGGACCCCAAGACGTTCCCAGGCCAGCTGAGAGATATAGTCCCTCCAGCGTGTCCTGGGTCTTCCCCGGGGCCTCCTCCCGGTGGGAAGTGCCCGGAACACCTCCCCAGGGAGGCGTCCAGGAGGCATCCAGAACAGATGCCCGAGCCACCTCAACTGGTTCCTCTCGACGTGGAGTAGCAGTGGCTCTACTCCGAGCTCCTCCCGTGTGACTGAGCTCCTCACCCTATCTCTAAGGGAGCGCCCAGCCACTCTGCGGAGGAAGCTCATTGTATCCGCGATCTTGTTCTTTCGGTCATTACCCAAAGCTCATGACCATAGGTGAGGGAGGGAACGAAGACTGACCGGTTAATCGAGAGCTTTGCCTTTCGGCTCAGCTCCCCCTTTTCCACAACGGTCCGATACAGCGACCGCATCACTGCGCACGCTGCACCGATCCGCCTGTCAATCTCACGCTCCATCCTTCCCTCACTCGTGAACAAGACCCCGAGATACTTGAACTCCTCCACTTGAGGAAGGGCCTCTCCACCCACCCGGAGAGGGCAAGGCACCTTTTTCCGGTCGAGCACCATGGCCTCAGATTTGGAGGTGCTGATTCTCATCCCAGCCGCTTCACACTCGGCTGCAAACCGTCCCAGTGCATGTTGTAGGTCCTGGTTCGTTGGAGCCAACAGGACAACATCGTCTGCAAACAGCAGAGATGAAATACTGTGGTACCCGAACCGGACCCCCTCCGACCCTTGGCTGCGCCTAGAAATTCTGTCCATGAATACAGTGAACAGAACCGGTGACAAAGGGCAGCCCTGGCGGAGGCCAACATGCACCGGGAACAGGCCTGACTTACTGCCGGCAATGCGCACGCAGCTCTGGCTCCGGTCATACAGGGACCGGAACGGCCCTCAGCAGAGGACCCCGTACTCACGGAGGACCCCCCAAAGGACACCCCGGGGAACACGGTCGAACGCCTTCTTCAAATCCACAAAGCACATGTGGACAGGTTGGACAAACTTCCATGAACCCTCGAGTATCCGATGGAGAGTGTAGAGCTGGTCCAGTGTTCCACGGCCGGGACGAAAACCACACTGCTCCTCCTGAATCTGAGATTCGACCATCGGCCGTAACCTCCTCTCCAGTACCTTGGAGTAAACCTTACCAGGGAGGCTGAGGAGTGTGATCCCACGATAATTGGAACACACCCTCCGGTCCCCCTTCTTGTAGAGAGGGACCACCACCCCGGTCTGCCACTCCATTGGCACCGCCCCCGATCGCCACGCGATGTTGCAGAGACGTGTCAGCCAAGACAGTCCTACAACATCCAGAGATTTTAGATAGTCAGGACGGATGTCATCCACTCCCGGCGCCTTGCCACCAAGGAGGCTGCCAACCACCTTGGTGACCTCGGCCAGGGAGATGGAATTATCCGCCCCAACATCCTCAGCCTCTGCCTCCGGAGCGGAGGACGTGACGGGGGGGATTGAGGAGAACCTCGAAGTATTCCTTCCACCGTCCAACAATATCCCCGGTCGAGGTCAGCAGCTCACCCCCCGCACCATACACGGTGTTGGCAAAGAACTGCTTCCCCCTCCTGAGGCGCCGGACAGTTTGCCAGAATCTCTTCGAGGCCGACCGATAGTCATGCTCCATGGACTCTCCGAACTCCTCCCAGTCCCGGGTTTTTGCCTCTGCAACAGCCCGGGCCGCGGCACGCTTGACAGCTGCCTCAGGAGTCCCCCGAACCATCATGGCCCGATAGGACTCCTTCTTCAGCCTGACGGCATCCCTTACTGCCGGTGTCCACCACCGGGTTCGGGGGTTGCCGCCGGGACCAGCACCAGAGACCTTGCGACCACAGCTACGAGCCGCCGCATCGGCGATAGAGGAAGAGAACATGGTCCACTCAGACTCAATATCCCCCTCCTCCGCCGGGACCTGGGAGAAGCTCTCCCGGAGGTGTGAGTTGAAAGTCCTTCTGACAGGGGTCTCAGCGAGACGTTCCCAGCAGACCCTCACTACACGCTTGGGCCTGCCAGGTCTGACCGGCTTCCTCCCCTGCCAGCGGATCCAACTCACGACCAGGTGGTGATCGGTTGACAGCTCTGCCCCTCTCTTTACCCGAGTGTCCGAAACACGTGGCCGAAGGTCAGATGATACGACAACAAAGTCGATCATCGACCTCTGGCCTAGGGTGTCCTGGTGCCACGTGCACTGATGGACACCCTTGTGCTCAAACATGGTGTTCGTGATGGACAAACCGTGACTAGCACAGAAGTCCAACAACTGAACACCACTCGGGTTCAGATCAGGGGGGCCGTTCTTCCCGATCACCCCTCTCCAAGTGTCACTGGCACTTCCCACATGGGCGTTAAAGTCCCCCAGGAGAATGACGGAGTCCCCGGGCGGTGCACCGTCCAGTACCCCTCCCAAGGACTCCAAGAAGGCCGAGTACTCTGCACTGCTGTTAGGCCCGTAGGCCGTCACAACAGTGAGAGACTTGTCCCCCACCCGAAGGCGGAGGGACGCGACCCTCTCATTCACCGGGGAGAACTCCAACACGTGGCGGCTGAGATGGGGGGCAATGAGTATGGCCACCCCAGCTCGCCGCCTCTCCCCGCGAGATACACCAGAAAAGTGGAGCGTCCAACCCCTCTCAAGGAGTTGGGTTCCAGAGCCCAAGCTGTGTGTGGAGGTGAGGCCGACTATCTCTAGTCGGTACCTCTCGACCTCCCCCACAAGCTCGGGCTCCTTCCCCCCCAGTGAGGTGACGTTCCACGTCCCAAGAGCCAGATGTTGGGTGTGCGGACTGGGTCGCCGAGGTCGCCGCCTTCGACTGCTGCCCAGTCCTCTCTGCACCGAGCCGCCACGGACCCCTCTGCGGGTGGTGGGCCCACAGGAGGGACTGTCCACGTCGTCCTTTCGGGCTGAGCCCGGCCGGGCCCCGTGGGCTAAGGCCAGACCACCAGGCGCTCGCATTCGAGCCCCGATCCCAGGCCTGGCTCCAGGGTGGGGCCCCGGCTGCGCCATGCCGGGCGACGTCACGGTTCTTCTCTTTGTGCTGTCCATGTTGGCTTCTGACTGCTCTTCGTCTGACTCGTCACCTGAGACCTGTCTGCCATGGGAGACCCTACCAGGGGCATGAAGCCCCAGACAGCATAGCTCCCAGGATCACCAGAGTACTCAAACTCCCCCACCACGTTAAGGTGGCAGTCCAGGGGGAGAAGAACCAGCATATTATTAAAAATCCCACAGCAGCTCTCCGCTCAGCATCAAACCAAGTTTTTGCGAAGCACAGGTGCGAGAGACGGGAGGAGGGAGAGAGCGAGAGAGAGACGCAAAGAGCGAGAGACTATATACACATAAACACACTTACGGCATTGCCTTGCTAGAGCTTCAATGCAGATGAAGACTGCTAGAGAAGGACACCATACTGATCCTAGAATGCAACGGAGGTCTGACTACCGAAAGCCAAAACCAGAAGTCAAGCGGCAAAACCGGAAGTACCCCAAACTCGCTGTATTTTTAATCCAAAACACAAATAATCATGAAATAATTATGAAAATTACTTACAACAATAATGTAACAGTTTTTTTTAGCTTTTTAAACATATTAATCAACATTAAATGTATTTACTTATTTATTAAAGAAAAACAATTGCCTTAGGAGCTACACAATGACAGCCCACTGTGACAGTGTGTGTCGGTAGCGTGTGTTCACTCTCATAATCCCAGGCTCTGTGCTGCTCCAGTGCTCCAAGGCACTTGTGCTCCGTTCAATCTCCGTAGAAAACTTCATTTCGCAGGGATATGAATATGCGACTTGATGTTCTTATCCTTTACTTGGCCGCTCGTGCGTTTTGTCTTCTTTATATAAACAATGCGCTCAAATGACATCGATGTCTCCAGTTAAATGCAGTGTCTCGCGGAAAAGTCTTTTCAAAAAGGCTGTCATATTGTTGCCCTTGCATTTCTCTGGGATATTGAAGATAAGCACATTGGGCCTCATTCACGAACGGTTCTTAGGAACAGATTTGTACGTAAATCCTACTTACGCGGTTTTTACGAAGAAAGTGGCATTCACGAATATTTCTCGTAACCAGAATTTCACTTGGGCAAGTACAAATCCTACGAGTCCTCAGGAGCACTCGTACGCATTCAGTGCCGACATGTTCACACGCCGGGGTTGTCCTCTTTGGTGAAGTTGAATAAAAATACAACATTCCAGTGATATGTCCGTCATATCGATGTATGTATTTATTTATTTGTAGTAATCTTTATTAGTAATCTTTATTTATATACCGCCTTTTTCACTGCAGATCTGGCCTACTTTTTAATTCATTTTGAAATGAAATGTGCCAACGCTTTATCAAATACATTGGAAATCTTGCCGTGTATTAGTGACCCCTTCCTATTTATAGGGGGCATTTCTTTATCCACGGGCCACAGAACAATGGCATATTTACTGCTGCTGCAGGAGGTTACTGGGTCCGCGCTGAGTCTCTGCGCTGGTCTCTCCCATGGATCTATACGGGTCTGCACTGGTCTCTCCCATGGATCTATACGGGTCTGCGCTGGTCTCTCCCATGGATCTATACGGGTCTGCACTGGTCTCTCCCATGGATCCATACGGGTCCGCGCTGGTCTCTCAAGTCTGGTCTATGCGGTCTCTCCTGTCCGCGCTGGTTTCTGTGTGCTGGTCACTCCAGTCTCTCCTCGGGTCTGCATTGGTCTCAGCGCTGGTCCGCGCTGGATCTCCTCCCAGGGTCCAAAATATTTTGAGATTAATCTCAAAACATTTTGAGATTCATCTTTAAAATAATACATAATATATTTTTAAATTAAGCTCATAACATTTTGAGATTAATCTCATCATATTCTTAGATTAATCTCATAATTTTGCTAGTTCGACTTTATAATCATAATATTTCGACTTTTAAGTCAACATTTTATAACTTTATTCTCAGTCTGGCAAAAGCCTGCTTTAGGCCTGTTGCTGTTTCCTCTGGTGTCTGCACACGGCCCTGCAGTCCCTTATATGGGCATTAGTGGGCGGTTACTTATGCTAAGTACCTATGGTAATGAAGCACCTGGCACGCGCGCTGTACTTATGAGGAAATGGGATTCATCAATCTGAGAGAACAGCTGCGAACAATTCAGCGGCTTACGAGTGCGTTGATGAATCCCACGTGGGGACTTCTTAGAAATCTACTTAAGGACAACTTGAGAAGAAAGTTGAGTAGTTTCTTACGAAGTTATTCGTGAATGAGGCCCATTGTTCTGTCTTGATTTGTTCTCCAAGTATTCCATGCGGTCCCCCATATCAGTAATCTTGTTTACCAAGTGATTGGTGGTTTTATGGTGGGAGATTGTGTCTATTGACTCACCGACGCATTGTGTTCAACCTGCTCCAGTCGGCGTGTAGTCAACTCCAGATCCTTGCTCATTTGTTTGTTCTGTCGCATTATGAGCTGAATGTCTCTGTCCGTATCGGCCCGAAATGTCCGAAAGTCTGTCCTGAACTCTGTCAATTGTAAGTAGAGCGAGTCTTTGACAGAGATCATTAGGCTTTTTAATTCCTGCGCAGCTGTCTCCGACATTGTGAACACCCGTGCAGATTCAAGTTTGGCTGCTCTTTTCTTGCGTTTTTGTGGCGCTATTGTGTTCAAAGCAAACCCAGAGCGCAAATTCATTGCCTTATGCACATTGTGCGTTTTAAAGTCATATCCTCTGCCAGTATGAAGTATCATGTCTTTACTTTCCGCGTCAGACGACAAATTTCAGCGTCTCACTCGGTCGCCATCTTTGTATCAAACGCCAAGTTTTGATGGAAATAAATCTGGACTTATTTCCATCAAATCCAGCTTCAGATTCATTCTTATTTAACCACTATAGAAATAAAAAGATATATAGTAATGCTTATTTATTTCAAACACTTAATGCAGTGCTTAACAAATGTTTTATAGCACCATCTGTTATACCTTTTTTTTTGTTTTTTATTTATAAGTTAGCTCTATTTATACATATTTTTGTTAAATTTGTTAAAAAGTTGTATTTCTTGTTCGGCACTTTGAGTGAATTTGAGTTAGATTTCTAAGTTTGAATTACTTTAATAGGTTTAATGACAGAAAAAGCCAATACTGCATCAATATCTCGTTCAAAATCTACTGTATCAAATTGTATCGTTTTAGAAATTAAGATCCATCCATCCATTTTCTACCCTTTAATCCATTTCTGGGTCAGGGGGGTGACAGTCAGAGATGCCACCCCAATCAATGTGGATTGTATCGCTCTAAAAAAGTATCGTCACACCCTGATGAGTATAATTCTATATTATACTGATCTGACATGTCTTTGTTGTGTTTGTGGCAGATCTACAAAGTCCATCTACATAATGGGGTTCACCTGTGATCTGTGTGGAAAGACCTGCAGCTCTCCTTCTCACCTCAAGACCCACTACAGAACTCACACTGGAGAAAAACCATACGAGTGTGATCTGTGTGGAACAGGCTTTACTACAAAAGGAGATCTCGAGCGCCACAGCAGAATCCACACTGGAGAAAAACCCTTCAGCTGTGACTTTTGTGGTCAGAGTTTTAGACAAGAGAGTCATCTCAAAGAACATCAGAGGATCCACACAGGAGAGAAACCATTTGAGTGTGACAAATGTGGAAAAACATTTAGTAGAAAAGACAGCCTCTCACTACATCAGCGTGTCCACACAGGAGAGAGACCTCACCAATGTGACCAGTGTGAAAAGACTTATATACGTTTATCCAACCTCACTGAGCACTACAGAATCCACACTGGAGAAAAGCCATTCGTCTGTGGAGACTGTGGGAAGGAGTTTACTCAGTTTTCACACTACAAAAGTCATGAGAGAATTCACACTGGAGAAAAACCGTTTGCATGTGATCTCTGCAATGAAACTTTTTTAACTGCAGCACATCGCACACGTCACCATCGGAGCCACACTGGAGAGAAGCCGTACAAGTGTGATCAGTGTGGAACATGTTTTTCCCAAAGAGGAGGTCTTAATAATCACAAAAGAACTCACACTGGAGAAAAACCATACAAGTGTGATCAGTGTGGAACATGTTTTACTACAAAAAGACATCTCAAGGTCCACAGCAGAATCCACACTGGAGAAAAACCCTTCAGCTGTGACGTTTGTGATCAGAGTTTTTCTCACAGTGGTAATCTCAAAGTTCATAAGAGGATCCACACTGGAGAGAAACCATTTGTCTGTGAAAAGTGTGGAAAGTCTTTTACTCATAGTTCAAATCTTCGTAAACACATTATAACCTGTGAGAAGCAGGTGTGAAGACGCAGCATCTGGACCAAAGTGAAGGAGACAGAGCGGAGGGTGCATCATGTGAACCTAGAGTCGGGCTGTGGTCACATGTGCAGCCTAAAGCCTGGTTAAAGTGTGCCAGGGCCCGCTTCCCAGCGCAGATGAGGGGGGGTCAGTGTCGCGGGTGGTGGGGAGTGGGGGGGTGAGGTGTGGTGGGGACTTGATATTGTGCGTCACATTATGTCTTCCTGTGACACGCATTTTCACACACTCCCTGCACTTTTGTATTCTCCGCTTGTGTTAAATCTTTCATATAAGCCACCATACCGTGGTTGAGGGGTGCAGAGGGCTGAGTCGCTGCTGGGCCATAGAGAAGCGTTTCCTACGGGTATAGCTCTCTCCTGTCCTGACCCTCGCTCTCAGTGTGGTGCTATTGCAATAACACTTCAGACATTCAAGAATCAGTCTTTATTTAATCACCAGAACACACAGCTGATATCAACCAGGGCAACGAGGTAGTCGCTGGTGTTAGTATTAGCGCCACCAGCTGGACCGAGTGTTTCCCTGGCACGGTTCAGACAACACGTTCATGTGGCCGCGGGCCGTTTTCACACCCCTGTGGCGACAATCCGGGCCACTTGGCCTAGTTCGTTTGTAAAAACCTATGTGACCGTGCCCTCAGACTCTACAGGATCACACTTAAGTCTTAACCCTGTGCTGCAGCTGCTGAGCTTTACAGACCAAACACACACAATTCCCCCCAGATAGAACCAGAATTGGTGTCAAAGGAGCTCTGGCTTAACCTATGATCGTCATGTGACTGTCATGTGACTTGTGGTTCTTATGACCCTCCCATGATGGTCGGCACTAGATCACATACAGAATCAGGACGAAAGCGGAAGTAACAATCCTACTTTCGAATTAGTTTGAGACAAATAAGTCCTTAAATGGTGACTGGTTAAGTTATGGGTGTCTGAGTAAGATGGTTAAAGTTAGGGTTAAGGTGGTCTGAGTAAGATGGTTAAGGTTAGGGTTAAGGTGGTCTGAGTAAGATGGTTAAGGTTAGGGTTAAGGTGGTCTGAGTAAGATGATTAAGGTTAGTGTTAAGGTGGGTCTGAGTAAGATGATTAAGGTTAGTGTTAAGGTGGGTCTGAGTAAGATGGTTAAGGTTAGGGTTGGGCGATATGGCCTAAAATTCATATTACGGTATAATTTGGGTCACAGACGGTAGACTGTATATATCGCGGTATAATTTGGTGTGTGAATTTCAATATAGGTCTTGCAGGTTCTTGCATAAAATAATCAAGATTGTTTATGTATTAGAATCTGATATTTTTTTTTAGTTTGAAAATCAGGTGTGAGACAAATGATGATAGAAATGCTGTAACATACATTATTTATGTATGTTACAGTAAAGACTATTTAATGTAAAAGCAATTTTAAAAAAGAAAAACATATGCAGGGATCACACTCCTCAGCCTCCCTGGTAAGGTTTACTCCAAGGTACTGGAGAGGAGGCTACGGCCGATGGTCGAATCTCGGATTCAGCAGTGTGGTTTTCGTCCCGGCAGTGGAACACTGGACCAGCTCTATACTCTATTGGAGACTCGAGGGTTCATGGGAGTTCGCCCAACCTGTCCACATGTGCTTTGTGGATTTGGAGAAGGCGTTCAACAGTGTTCCCCGGGGTGTGTGACATTAGCCATGGTAACAGCTCCAACTATGACATGTCAGCCAGTAACAGTTGCCATGGCGGCAGTTGCATGACTACTGTTACCATGACGACAGTTCTTAGCTCCTTCTATCCATTTTGGAAACTTTGCAAAATGGAACACAGGTGTAACAGGATCTGTGCTTACAATAATGGTGGAGTTGTGATGTCACATACTGTGTGTTTCTTTTAGGGATGTAAAAAACTATGAATTTTCATGACCGACCACCGAGCCTCATTAACCGGTTGAAACCGGTTAACCGCGTAGTTTAAAATAGTCCACGTTCTTTGAAATAACAGCCATTTCGAGCCGCGTACTTTTCATAAGTGCAGCTCTGCGTTCTACTGGATCAGAGCCGAGACAGCGGCGCCCAAACCCGCAACAGCTCCGGCACCTTTGCGCACAGAGAACTGCTTTTTTAATCTTCCCATTCTGCTGTACTGCGGGTTAATACCAAAACTTTCTAGCAGCAAAGACGGCTCGTTCACATGGTCAGAGCAGCGAGTGACGAGCCGCGTCTCACAGGTCTTCACACAAGTTTAAATACAAGTGATGTGTGTGGAGCTGATCCCGAGGACCATAAACACAAACATGTTTCCCCTACAGCAAAACATGTAGGGGAAATACGCGACTCCCAAAGGAGCCGCGTATTTGCGCGGATCCTTTGTGCTCCGTGACACAGAGGAGCGCGACAGACCGGTATGTGTATGTGTATGTATGTGTGTGTGTATGTATGTGTGTGTGTATGTATGTGTGTGTGTGTGTATGTATATGTGTGTGTGTAAATGTAAGCTCCAATGTAGTTCTGACCCGCGCCAGTGTGCAACTTTGACGGTGAGGGGAGAGATGATGCGTGTGGATGTTACGTATGGAGAGGGGGAAAGTGTGTGTGTGTGTGTGCGCGCGTGCGTGTGTGCATATGTGGCTCGTGCGGCGTAAGAGTCGTCCCGGAGTTTATAATACATGGGCGCATACAGCTAGATACAGACCCGCTCGTCACACCGTGCAAATAGGGCTTAAAATAGCGTTATTAAGAGACCTCCCCTCTCCCCTTTTTCTCTTTTTTAACCGACAGCTTTGACCGGTTAACGCTGTGACGGTCAACCACCGGTTAACCGGTCGCCGATTTACATCCCTAGTTTCTTTGTTCATGTCTGTGCTTAGGTAACAAGTGACTATTGTAATGAAAACTATGAATGTATACTTTATTGAAGGATGCATTTTAGCTTTTGTGCTAATTCCAGCATCTTGATGTTGAAGCTGTTTCTGACACATTCATATGTACTGCCCTCATTCAAAGAAATGAACTGATGAATACAAATATGTCGTCTGTTTGGGACCATGAAGGAAGATCAAAGGAGGAAAACTAGTCCAGACAATAATGCAAGTTCAGTTGATTTGTCCTTTCTAAATCCATATTGATTGTTAGGATGTTGTGTTTTTCAATAAATGACTCCATTCTATTTACAAAGAGCGTTTCCAGTATTTTGGAACATAGAGATAAGATAGAGTTGGGCTCTAGTTGGAGCAGTTTGTCTCCTGGTTTGTGAATGAGTCTGACTTCTGCAGTTGTCATTAGACATGGGAATGATCCAGTAGAGAACGTTAGCTTAAATATACAGTGCCTTGCGAAAGTATTCGCCCCCCTTGAACCTTTCAACATTTCGCCACATTTCAGGCTTAAAACATAAAGATATAAAAATTAAATTTTTAGTCATGAATCAACAACAAGTGGGACACAATCGTATTAGCAACGTTGCGGCCACAGGCCTTCCTCAGGCAAAATATACAAATAGAAGTTGGGAGCCATCTCTCTATTTGTATATTTTGCCTGAGGAAGGCCTGTGGCCGAAACGTTGCTAATAAACCACTGGTGTTTGCAAGTTAGACAGTGTGCGGGTGTCATCCTTTTTTCATGTTTGGCCACCTTGTGCGGGCCAATCCTACGCAGCTGTCATAGAAGAGATGTGCGAAGTCTACCTCTTTTAACAGGTTAATTACTGTGAAATGATGTCACTTATTATGTAACATGTATGTTGCTATGGATACACATGTGTCGCCAGTTACATGACTATGTGTAAGACCAAGTACCAGAAAAGGAAGAGTCCAGACTGAAACTGTGAGGATGTGTGAGTGGGTCAAATGTTTAGAAATGTGTTTATGAAAGTATAAAGGTATAAAGTGTCACATGTGTTTTACATGTGGTGTTTTGGGCCCCGCCTATAATAACAATAACAATAATAGTACATTTTATTTAAAAACCGGTGTTATAGAATTATATACCCCATGAAGGAGGAAACTCAAAGGTCCTTTGTCTGATCAAAAGCGTAAGTTTATTGTTAACGCACGTGCGGAGAGCCAGCACATACACTCCAAAAGCAGCATGTCCCAGCTCTGGGGGCCAG